AATAGCAATAGCAATAGCAATAGCAATAGCAATAGCAGTTAGACTTATATACCGCTTCATAGGGCTTTCAGCCCTCTCTAAGCGGTTTACAGAGTCAGCATATCGCCCCCACAGTCTGGGTCCTCATTTTACCCTCCTTGGAAGGATGGAAGGCTGAGTTGACCTTGAGCAGGTCAAGATCGAACTATCTGGCTGTAGGCAGAGTTTAGCCTGCAATGCTGCCTTCTAACCCATGCGCCACCAAAGGAAGGAAGGAAGGAAGGAAGGAAGGAAGGAAGGAGAAAACACAGGGAAAGGAAGGAGGGAGGGAAGGAAACATAGGGAAAGAAAGGAGGGAGGGAAGGAAGAAGAAAAGAGAAGACAGAAGGAAGGAGGGAGGGAAAGATGGAAAGGGAGGAAGGCGAAAAGGGAGGGAGGGAGGGAGGGAGAAATAGCAATAGCACAAACATATACTGCTTTCCAGCCCTCTCTAGTGGTTTATAGAGTCAGCCTCTTGCCCCCAACAATCGCCACCATGGGAAGGAAGGAAGGAGGGAGGGTGGGAGGGAGGGAAGGAAGGAAGGAGAAAACAGAGGGAAAGGAAGGAGGGAAGGAAGGAGAAAAGAGAGAAAAAGTCAGAAGGAAGGAGGGAGGGAAAGATGGAAAGGAAGGAAGGAGAAAAGGAAGAGAGGGAAGAGAGAGAAATAGCAATAGCACAGACTTAGATACTGCTTCACAGTGCTTTTACAGCCTTCTCTAAGCGCTTTACAGAGAGACCCTCTTGCCCCCAACGATCTGGGTCCTCATTTGACCCACCTCGGAAGGACGGAAAGCTGAGTCAACCTTGAGCCTGCTGAGAATCAAACTGCCCAATTGCAGGCAGCCAGCAGAAGTAACCTGCCATACTGCACTCTAATCACTGCGCCACTGAGGCTCTTATGTTGAGGACTTCCTGTATGTAGAAGCCAGAAATCCGGGAGGGGCCCCTGCAGGATTACCCAGAATCCCTCCTCTCCTTCCCCTCTCCCCCCCCCCTGGGGCCCGCTGCTACTTGCCTGCTGGTGCCGGCCGCTGGAAAAGGTATACTGGACCGAATGCGTCGGATAACGGCTCTGCTCCGCGCTGAACGCTCCTTGGTTGGGAGGGTAGCTTGAGCTGGACATTGTGGTAGGCGTTTTTGCAAAGTTGTGGGAATCAAGAGTGATGGGCGACCAGGTCTCCAGGAAACGGCCTAGGAAGAAGCAAGAGCAATAGCAGTTAGACTTATATACCGCTTCACAGGGCTTTCAGCCCTCTCTAAGTGGTTTACAGAGCCAGCATATTGCCCCCAACAACAATCTGGGTCCTCATTTTACCC